ATTTCATACTGATCATTTTCTACCAATGAAGAGAAAAAAATCACCACTTTTGTTGCTATGTTTATGGAGGCCATACTTTTCGTGCATAATGGATCCGATAAAAAATTTAACTTGATGGAAAATGCCATTATATCATTATAGCAAACACCCAGAGTAAAGGAAATGCTTTATGTTGCTCAGCAGACAATAACATATACTGTCACTAGAGCAGCTAAATAAATTATACAAGCAACAAGAATATCAGTCACAGATAATTATCACTGTATTACGTTTGGGGATTTTTTGCAGCTTTGTGTAGATATTCAAAGCCTAGTCTCTGTTAGCACTGTACTACTCAGCATTCAGAAGATTTGATTAGATCTAGGCTTCATCGTTTACCTCTTGGTACTTATTTCTCTCACAAAGTAAAAATATACGGACCTTTTCCAGCACCCATTGTATTGGAGAAAGTTGATGCCTTGTGTTTTGTAATTTCTTACCCATTTCCTTCAGAAATAGGAGATTCTACTTCACTAACACTAAAACCCCAGAAGGTTGAAGTTTAATTGCAAAACCAGATTCAACATATTACTTCCTTTCTCAAATGTTTCACTTTTCTATTTGGAGTTGAAATTAGATTAGTCACCATATGGCTTATCTTAATTAGCAGAATGAAATGGGCCTAGATAGTAAATGGAATGCTTTATGGTAACCACTTCCTTGTTTTTCCTTTTTTAAGTAGAAATTGTTGTATAGTCCACAATGGTAGAGAATTTTCCCATGTTTTTCATAATCATACCTGATAGCACCATGTAACAAATGTCTTATGCCACTTTCTGTCAGGTACTCCTTAGCAGTCAAGAAGGGGGCAGGGCTGCTTTCAGCTTGGCCAGATAAGCCATTGGTAAAAGAACAGCTGTTAGGTTAACAAATAGCACAATCCATTATCTTGGAAAATTTGACTTTATTTTTGCTGATAATCGGACCAAATACTCTGTAGTCACAGTCTCCATTTTTTTTAATGGAAAAAAAAAGTATTTTTTATGTTCAAAAGAATATGTTCCTATTATTAAATAACCCATCATAGCTGTTACTCTTTTTAAAAAAAATCTTTTTATTGGGGGCTCATAGAACTCTTATCACAATCCATACATATATCCATTGTATGTCAAGCACATTTGTACATTCACTGCCCTCATCATTCTGAAAACATTTGCTTTCTACTTAAGTCCTTGGTATCAGCTCTTCCTTTCCCCCCTCCCTCCCTGCTACCCCCTCCTTCATGAACCCTTGATAATTTATAAATTATTATTATTTTGTTATATCTTAACACTGTCTGATGTCTCCACCCACTTCCCTGTTGTTCGTCTCCCAGGGAGGAGGTTATATGTAGATCCTTATAATCGCTTCCCCCTTTCTAGCCCACCTTCCCTCCACCCTCCAGTATCGCCACTCTCACCACTGGTCCTGAAGGGATCATCTGTCCTGGATTCCCTGTGTTTCTGGTTCCTATCTGTACCAGTGTACATCCTCTGGTCTAGCTGGATTTGTAAGGTAGAATTGGGATCATGATGGGGGGGGTGGGGGGAGCAAGCCTTTAAGAACTAGGGGAAGGCTGTATTTTTAATCGTTCCTACACTGCACCCTCACTGGCTCGTCTCCTCCCCGCGACCCTTCTATAAGGCGATGTCCAGTTGCTTGCAGATGGTCTTTGGGTCCCCAATCTGCACTCCCCCTCATTCACAATGATAGTCTTCCATTTTTATACCTTACTTTGTTCCAAACTTGCCAAGAGATTGGTAGTAATATTTTAGGCCAGAAGTATATACCGTGCTAGCTTGGGAAAGAGGCCCTGCTGGTGGAGTGGTTTTGTATTGGGTATGCTGACCACAAGATCGGCTATTCAAAACAACCACCTGCTCTGAGGGAGAAAAACTGAGGCTTTCTGCCCCTGTAATGATTTACAGCCTCGAAACCCAAAGCAGCAGTCCCACACTGCCCTACAGGGACCCTGTGAACCAGAGTGGACTCCCAGGCAATGCGCTTTTCATTTACTTCTGATCACTTAAGCAAGGAGGCCTGGTGGCAGAATCCATAATTTCTTGGTGGTTTGAACCTGGCCAGCTGTTCCTAGGGAGAAAGATGTGGCTGTCTGCTTCTATCAAAATGACAGCCTGGAAGCCCTGTGCGCCAGGTCTGCTGTGTCTTCAAGGGGCTTTGTGACAGGAATCGACAATAAGCTTCTCTTTGTTCGACTTCCTGTGTTATGTATAGCTCACTAAATTTTTCCCAAATAAATATTGAAAACTCCACTTTTCCTGGGCACCAGCTTCTCAGGCTACAAAATGCATGTATCCACATGGTGCATTCCGAAGCGCTTCTGAAAGAGAAGGGAAAGTTGGCATATTGCACAATATTCACATAAACATCTCAAATAAGTCATCTTGTATTTGAAACCTGGGTTCAAACTATTTACATTTGCCACCATGGAAGCTAATGTGTGTGTTATCTTTTAGTTATTCAATAACAGGATTTATTTGTTTAAAGTCTAGAATTATATTGTAGCTGTTTTCTGTGCTCTAGCCATACTTTCAGATCCTGTATTCTGATGTATGTAGTCATGTATTTAACTCAAGTTTTCAGTTCAGTGTTTTTATGTGTATGTTATGTAATTTGTGTTGCAAGCTACATCTTCTTGACTACATCTCATATTTTCTTAGAATCCCAAGTCAATAAAACAAATTAACAAAAACCTTGTCATTTTAGTCTTTTAACATAGGATATGGAACACAGCTAAGATCCCAAATGTTTGAATCAATTTGTACGCAAGTCATCTGCAGGGGGAGGGGTATTGGATACAGCTGGCATTCTGTATGTTTCCTTGGAAAATATAAAGAAATAATGTTTTGTTAAAACTACAAACATGAAATATATATATATTAGGAGCTGACAATTAAAAACAAGATACTATCCACATACCATTTCTCTCTGTATTTGTTTAGGCATTTGTTGGCCTTTATCTGATGCTAACAGGAAGAAAAGACCCAACATGATTCTCAGTAACAAGAGAAACCCATGGAGAGGCCCAGGGGTAGGTGACAGTTTTTAAGCTTACACAGTTAAATAGCAGTAGTACATATCAAGACTTACCAGAACCAGTTGGCTTTCATTTAGTTTTACTTTATTATTTAGATAGCAGGACTGCTAGAGAAATCACATTGAGGTCAGTCTGTTCCAGTGTTAATCAGACTGCTAAGAAGGAATCAGTGGGATTTTGAACATGTGTGTTTGCAGTCTTAAAATAGCCAAAACTGGCTGCTATCATACCAAAGTCCACAGCAGCCAGGTGGAAACAATTTCCCAGCAGCAACTTCCACTGCGTAGTTCATCCAATATATGCTTATTTATGAAGGATTTCAGAATGTGCATCCATACTCCCTGCTGCATGTTTCAGCAACACGCACTTCCTTCCGGAGGTGGGTAGAGTAGATTGAGGGAAGCACCAGATGAAGCGTCTGTAATAGTTAAGGACTCTAATGTTTTCTAATTAAGCTCAAATTCTTGCTCAAAATAAAATTCCTAGTGCATCCATTTGGGGCAAAACCATGGAGTAGAAGACAGAGATTAACCCCTGTAAGTGATAGCCGTGTTGTCATTAGTTGCTGTGGAGTCAGCCCACGGTGGCCCCACAGACAACAGAAGGCAACGTGGCCCCATCCCGTGCCATCCTCACCACCACTGGCATGCTGGGGCTCGTTGTGGAGACCACTGCCCATTTGTAGGGCTTCCCAACCTGAGGGATTCATCTCCCAGTCTTCTGTTGACTGTTTTAGCAATAGATTGCCAGACCTTTGTCCCTAGTTTGTTTTTGACTGGAAACTGCGGAAGCCTGTCTGTCCTGGGTGTCTCGGCTGGTATTTGAAATACCAGTGACTTCTAGTGTGGCACCAATCTGAAAGTCACCATTGTATAACAAACTGACCGGCGCAAGTGATGGTGTTTAATCATAGGGTTCTGGTCATGGCAGCAGAGAACTGGAAAGGAGTTTTCAGGGTTTTCTCAAGAGCTCAAATGATGTCTTACGGTGCTGTACTAAATGACTGAGGGAAGTGTGTAGTATTAAATTGTTGATGGGGGATGAGGGGCCAGTCCCTACCGCTATTACTACTACTAATACTACCCACGGGTTCAGTAATGCACAATTGTATGGTTGAGATATATAAGTATTAAATTAAAGTCATCGAGAGCATGAGAGATACAATAATGCAGTTAGACACGTTACATAGTAGCATTGCTCACCTCAGCCCAGGTTGGTGGTCCACGTGGAGAGAGGGAGAAGGGAAGGAGAGCAAGGGAACAAGGGAGAGGGGGAAGAGGGGTCAGAGAGATCGGAGAGTCAGAGAGCTCTATATTGCTGACCCACGCCTATATACCTTTTGGGGGCATGCCAGCCCACTAATTACAGGTAGAGACATACTTCACAGGAAGGGGTTGCACTATAGGTTACACAGTAATGAG